TCTTGGGTAAATCACTTCACCTCAGGTGTTTCATTTGTAAAATGAGATGATCGGCTCTAAAACAAAACAAAATCTGAGAATGTCTGAGTGGTAAGGGTTGTCTATTTTTCCGCTGCTGCTGCTGCTGCTATTGTTATTGTTCTGTTTAAATTCATGGTTTTTAGGATGGGAATGACATGCTTGAAAAAATAGCTTAGAAGTTAATATTGTTAGATTTAAAAATACCAAAATTATAATGAGAACACGTCAATGGTCCTGACATCTGAAAATAAAGACTTTTAACTAAATACTGTGTCCATAAAAATTGAAAATAAAGTGCTGAGTTGTAGAAAATTGATAAAGGAAGGATAGAACTTGGCTTGAGAGTGGAGAGGATGAGAGAGTTAGAAATGAATAACACTAAAGTTTGGGGCCCAGAAAATAGACAGACTATAGTATCTATAGTAGAAATGGGAAAACCTGGGAGATAATGTGGCTGGAGATGTGGGAAGGAATGTAAATGAATCTTTTTAGTTATCATTTAAGTATAATTTTTATTATACGCAATATATGCACTAAAATTTATGTATGTAAGGATGAGTGGATGTAAGATAGACAGAAGAGAGAGACTCCTGCAAGAACAAGCATGTTTTAGTTTCAGGATTTCACAAAGCAGTAAAATCAACATTGAATAAAACAATTATGAGAGTAGCATGACATTCCATTTAAGAACTTATTCATTAGGAAAGTAAGTAGTATTCAAAATAAGCCCCAAAGTATCACATTTATCTGAATCTTAATTTATGAAAGACACTCTAATAAAACTGGTAAATAAAGCATGGATTTTAAATAATAAATATATTGATTAAAATCCCAGATTGACCTTCCTTTAGTCTCATTCTTAATTTTTTAAATAAGAGAATATCTGTCTCCTAAGGTTGGATGAAGAACATGTCAGGTAACATGTAGAGCTCTGGATGGTCAACAAATAGTGGCTTCTATTAGCTCATTCAAGCAAATCTGAAAGAAAAAGAAATGGGCTCCTATCATTTCTATTTTTAAAAATATCGTTAAGTCTTTGATATCGTATTTATAACATACCACAGCTCCTTCTGCAACAAGCATATATGAGGCACCGATTATGTGAAGCTTTATGCTCGGGGAAAAATTATTGCAATAACAGGCACTGTGTGCAACTCCTAACCTTAAGAAGAATTTGTCTAGATGAGGAGGCAAGTAAGTGTTGAAAATCTAGATTAAGATAACTCTTGGCTATTCTAGGTGTACACTCTCAAAATCAAACTGAATTGTCACACATATATGTAACTAGAATTAATTTAAAGTCTTGTGTTTGAAACAAATGCTAGTATTTATTTACATATTTTATTAACACGGAATTAAGGGTTTGTAATTTATGTTGGTGTATCCAAAATGATTAGAGACACTGAGGTAAAATTTTAAAACTTGGTTTACATGGAGAAATTCGTTCTGTAAGCTCCTTAAGGAGTTGTATTGTTAATGATAATTAAATTATTAAGTACATTCAAATATTTGGTTTTTATACCAAATCTAATTGAAACTGCTCTGATCAAGGTATTATTAGACTTTGTTACTTTTTAAAACAAACTATGGAGAAGTTATATCTTTAAGTTATCAATTTATTTTGGATATAAAATTTGAGAGACCCACTGAAATTATAAAGTTTGGTTGTCTCATGTAATGGCAGAGCAATAATTTGAGGTCAGACAGTATTTACTTCTTTTCTTCTAATTCAAAAGGAGTTGGTAAACTTATCCAATATGGTAAAATGGATAAAATAACACCTGTTATACTCATTCCCATTGGTCAACAAGAAAGATATTGATTTACACAATAAGAAAACATTGTAAATATTCCTGGTAGAAAAAAATTAGCATTGATTAAGTTTTTTAGAGCTATGTGAATGAAGAGGTGAATATAATCACTCACTGTTGATATGTACTGACTTATTTATATGAAAGAATAGGGATTACAAAATTATATCAGTCTTCTCCTCAGACTGTTTAGTTTATTCTCATTCTGTGAAAAATTTAGGCATCATAATAACTTAAATGTTAACAAAAGAAAAGAAGCAAGGCATTTTTTTTATAACAGATACTCAAATATTTACTTTTATGCTACAAAAAAATACCTGTATGAGTCAATTTTGGCCATTTTTATTTTAAAATCAATGTAAACTATACTATTCTACATTTTTAAATCATACCCTTTCAATCTGTGAGACTATATTTGTGGAATGTGTGCATTCATAATTTGGTATAATTATTCTTGTTAAAATATTAGATTAAATAACATCTTAAATAATCTGTTTACTCAAGGATGATGTTGCAAGATGATTATTTTGGTTATAATTTGTTTTTCATAACAATTTAATAAAATACTTAAAATAAGAACAGAATATATATAATTTATTTTCTATTTCACATTTTTTAAAGAGGCTGATTTACCTTGACATAAATATTAGTAGTTCAAGTTTCACATAAACTGTCATGGTACTATTTAAATTTTTATTCCTCCCGTATTTTCATTGCTGATAACAGATTAAGTTCTGATACAGATTAAACCTTCTATTCTTCTTAAAATCAACAGTAAGACCCTGAAACATTCAGAGGACAAATAAATCATATTATTGTTTGTTTTTAATTACCAAACACCATGATAGTTAGAAACATACCCATGCACTTGTCCATAAACACTCTACTTTTTAGAAATGGTACCAATAATGGAACTTTTTTTTTTTTTTTGAGAGTTCCACTCTCCTTCATTTACACCAGTTAGATACTGATATAGCAATTGACACGTCCTGGTAAGTAATTTTGAAAAAACCTTCTAAACCTAGAAAGTTGCAGGATCCCCATTCCAGCAAAACTAATTTCAGGTCTGACATTGTGTGTCATGTAACAATTCAGTATACATTACATAAAATTGAACATGGTTATAAATGTATACTCCTTTTAGGAATTAGTTATGAGATGTGTTCAGTCTTGCAATCTTTTCAAAACGAGTTCAGGTAAACCTGAAAAGCCTCACCATAAACTTGCTGACTCAAATCTGTTCTAGCAAAGAGATTCTTGAAACACCTGAGGCATGATCTGCCAAATTATACGATCCTATCATTAGGCTCCAATATTATCGTTTGTTTTATTGAACAAAATTCAGAAAATTACTAAGAGCTTTCGTAAGTATTTCTGATAATGATTTTTATTGATTTCCTTAAACAAACGATAATCATTTTAAGCTAAACCTTTTAATACTTTTTTTTTCTTTATGGGCTTCTGTTCTGTTTGTTTTTGCTTGATTTCAAAAACAGAAAGTAATATTTCCCACTTCCCAGCTGCAGCAATGTGAAGACCATGAAGGAAAAACAAGTTATTTGTTTAATTCTTAAAAAAGTCACAAACAGCAATTGCCTATAGAGTGGAGCTGAAAGTGAAATCCACATGTAATGCCTCTGTCAGCAAAGACTTAGTAGGAGAGAGTTTATAATAAATATTCACACCTGCTGCTTTGGACACCCTAATCCATCCTAAAGATCTTTGCTGTGTCAGGCTTTGTTCTAGATGAAGAAGCCCAGTAGTTATAAAGGTTTGCAAATAGGCCATATTCATCATGGTTAGCTTTACATTTATGACTTTTTTTCTCTTTTAGAGATATTCGTGGCTGTTTGGGGTATAATTTGTGATTAAGTATTTCACTGTGAATTTTATAATGATCTTATTATAGAATTATTTTTAAGGAATGACCAAATCTATATTCACAACATGTCACCTACCTAAAATCTGTCAAGAAGACATCATTGATAACAATGCTATGCTGGATATAGAAAACATAATGGCCAAATGCCTAGGCTCTGAATTCAAAGTGTTTGTGATTTAAATGCTAGCTCCCCTCTATACCTAGGGTGTCCTCAGGAGCAAGTTACTTAGCCTTTTCAAGCCTTTCTTTTCTCATCTGTATAATTCCTTATCACTGGATTATTGTAAGTAGTATATGGGATAATCCACATCAAATACTAAACATAGTATCTAGCATGTGAAGAGAGTTTAATTCATTTTTAGATATTATTTCTAGAATGATAATATACCTTCTAATTGTGATTAGATAATCTCATGCATAGTACTAATATTCTTACTTATCCTAAGTACTGAGCTTATGTAAACATATTCTATTACTTTTACTTGCCTCCAAATTCTCTGGTAGTTTCCTTCTGGACTTCTTTAATCAAAGTATGAATTGAAATTGGATTGCTAATTTGTTTTCACTTTAGGGAAAAATTCATTCACATATATACAATATAAATATGAGAATACTCTTTTGTATTTAACTCTCTTATGTAACACAATTTATTTTAACTGAATTTTGAGTATAAATTAGAGTGAAAATCGCTAAGTCATCTTTTATTTATTTTGACCTCAACTCCAGAAAAATATTGTTTTCATGAGTATGGCAATTTTGAAAGCAGAAATGTATATTATTAAAAGTTTAATGATTTAGACAGAATCATAATAAATAAGTTTAAAGAATTCAAATTCTAAAATATAAATTATCCATGATATATCTCTTTGTCATAGATAAATTTCCAAACCTATGCCTCTAAAAACTTTTTAACATATAATTTATTTGAAAAAGAAAACTACATAGCATAGCTGCTTTAAATAATATTCTCAAAAATTATTTATTAATCACAAATATAAGCAGAATATCAGGGCATTTGATGACCTCTGCAAGAAAGGCAGGTAGGGCACTAGTTTTCATTTACTTATTCAAAAATTTTATAATATAATCATTCATTTGTCTTAGTTTTGACTCAAATTATTTCCAATACAGACAGGAGTTAATTCGTCTTTAATGATTGGCATCTAACATAAAATGGAAGTTTGTTGAATTAAACTTGAAACAAAACAGAATGTTGTTCCATTGCTTATATACTGTGATTGCTTGAAATAAAACTTTGGTTTCTCTCTCTCTGTTCTCTCTCTCAGGTCGAGTTTTAGCTCAGGCGAGCGGCAGTGGAGTTATCCATTTGCTAGATCTTAAATCCGGGCAGATACACAAATTGATGGGCCACGAGAGCGAGGCGCACACAGTGGTGTTTTCTCACGACGGGGAGAGTCTGTTTTCCGGAGGCTCTGACGGCACGGTTCGAACGTGGTCTTGATGGTCAGCGTATCTCATTGCCGAGGGCATTCCCTTTAAGGCTTGAAAATGCCTCCTGTAGTCCCAAACCACTAAATGACTGGTTAAATATACCAGCAGGTAGCATTTACAATATGCTTTAAAACATGCTTCAGGTATATATTTTAGTCCTCATACTGTTACCAATAAAAAAAATAGTAACTTTCTGCCATTTATTTGTGTCTGGGTCTTTTTTCTCTCTCTCATTTCGACAAGAATTTAGAGACAGAGCATCTTTGCTAGAGGTTTAGAAGAAACAGCTTTACAATGACGCCTAATGACAGACTAGATGAATTACAGGAGATCGATTTTTAAGAGAACAACTGCAGAAAACCCGGCTACTTTTTTTTTTTTTTAATCAAATCCAAGCTGCAGAAAGACCTGAAGTTTAATCATGTAACACTAGCAAAGTCTGCAAGCCAAGGGTCAGATAGAATCTGGGAACATTCATTTTCACAGATTCTTAGGCAATGATTATGCCTTATCTATTAATAATAATCGGGGACTGCAGATGGCTTAAATCTAAATGCAGGGGGTTCCGGAACTTTCATCTCTGCAGCCCATCCGAGAATGCATTAGGTACAATTACGATGATTTTGTTGTTGTTGTAATTTCAATGCAAGTAAGTATCTCACACGTAGAACGCTTCTCTCCCTCTTAATGCACGCATCCGCTGTATAAAGTGCGGCTGCTTAGAGAACGCTCTAGCCTGGTCTAAAGAAGCAACTCTGGGATTTCGACCTGGCTGGGCTCAGAAGCCAGTTGTTGGCGCTGTCCGTGGTGCTGAGGAATTCCCGGCTGCCGGCAGAATGAGCTCCAAATCAGCAGTCTGCAAACTGTTCTCAATGGTACAGAAACCAAGCTAAAGTTGCTCCTTTCCTTCACGTCCACAGTTAGCATTTTCTGGTGTGTAACAGGGGATTCAAGCAACATATTGTGGATGATGCTGATGATATTGCCGGCGGAGCGGGCTTTAAGCTATAGCATGCTGTTGCTGTTTGTGATCCTGAGAGCCTAGCCAAATCACCTCTACTGCCGTAGCAAACACTGTGTAAGTGAACTCATGTGTGGTGGAGGCGTAATCAGCCGGGAAATTTCATAGAAGGATCTGGGAAATGCTAAAAATAAGTTCAACATGATTCTACTACTGGGGTCTGGATTTCTACAGGACCAGCATTGCTTCTTGCTTTGAATTCTGAAGACAGGTTCAAAGCTTATTTCTTATGTGTGTTTGCTGTGTTTCTCCCTGGAAGGGCGGGAGACTGCTTCTTGACTGTGTTTTGAAATGGGAGGTAGAAAGAATGGATTGCCTGTAATTCATGCCTGAAAATGTATTCTTTGGGTAATTAAAGAAGAGCTGCTTTCCTAAAACATCCTGACCTTTTAGTTCATATTGGTCTGTGACCCCCACCACCACCATTAACCTCCAGAGTGATTAGGTAAGTGTATCTTATGACATGAGTTGTTTTTTTTTTTTTTCAAATAAATAGATACAGTCATTTAAAATCATATGTAGCAATATGGGGTGGGGGGAAAGTTTAGCTGGGAAGCAATCTTCAGTTTGGCAATGTTTACTTACTTATTAAAATCATCAGATAAACATTTTATTTGTTTTTTCTAATGTTTCTTCTCCAAAATAAATAGTGTCATAAATTGCACTAGAGGAGCTCATTTACGAAGAAGGCTGCTTTTTAAAAAATAGCCATAGAACTTTGTTTTAATAAAAAGAAAACTGCTTTCTTCATGCAGATTTTTGAAATGTATTTCATGTAATAAAAGAATGTTTAATGTTTATTATATAGTATGTCTTACTCCCCTATTTTTACCTTTAAATTCGCACTTATCATAACCTGACACATTAATGCCTACCTGTAGCTTATAAAGAGATCATTTTCTGCCTATGTCCTTTTGAAGCAGAATGATATGTGTATTTTATATGGCTTATCTTGCATGTATTGACATACTACAGGAATAGTATAAGGAAGCACAATAGCTCCCTTTTCTGCCAACACAAACTTTCCAAATGCATGAGAGATGTATAATAGCATGTGTAATTAGTAAAATATATTTATGCTTTTCAGAGGCTTCTGTTATGTTTGTGGCCTCTGAAGTAATTTAAGAAAAAAAATGCTTTGTCAATGGAGCTTCCAGCTTCTCAAGTAGAATTATAGGTTTGCATTTTCTTGTTCTGTCACGAATCATTATTTTTGACACATTTTAAAAGAAATCCATCTGCATTATCATTACCTACCCAAAAAGAATTTTAATATCAGAGGGCACTTTTCTCTGGAAGGAGGACATGAATATTCTACCTTCCATTTTTCTATTACTGGAATTTGCATATCTAACTTAAAATGCACAATATAATAAAATAATACATGAAAAGTTTCCTAAAACCAGCTTTATCTTATTTAAAATCATCATCTGTATATGTCATACTGAAAAGAGATGGTTTATCATTGCTCTTATTATGATCTGAAAATAAACCAATAAATGACATTTATAAATGATTTGAAAATGTCCTATATACAATCTTTGTGATATTGGTATAAAACCAATAGCATTTAAATAGATAAATGAACGATCTGCCAATGCTTTCCTTATCAATTACTCCCAAAAGACACAGTTTCCCCCAGAGCCTTTGCGTGAGTTAGTCACTTGTACATAAAAGCCCACTGCCAACACCCCACACCAAGTACTAATTAAAGTTTACAAGAGTCAATGCCACCAAAATTAATGAAGCCTGTTTACTATGAATAGCAACACCCCATCACAGTTTTCAGAAAGTTCCATAAATAAGTTAATGCTGGCTTTTTTATGAAAATTGCCTAAGTACAAATCTTCTGGACATTTCAAAGGAGAATTATGTTTTCAAGACTGTGTGAATGATAGTTACTTTATTGCAGTAATTAATTCAAATAGTATTACATGAATGCTAGATTCAAGTTGCTGTAAAAAAATATTAACAGATATATCTTTCCTGCCCACTAGGAGCTTACCCCCTGAGTGAAATAAAGATGTGGACAATAATACAAATAATTTTATTCTTGCCAAATCCCCTTCAATATGCTGAGTTCTGTTTTACTCTTTATATTATTTTAAATTTATTTTATTCAGTGTGAAATCGTTTTTGCTATTCTTATTCTTAGCCATGTTTCAGAATCCAGATCCTTGTTCACTGAAACATGTTAGTCCCTGTTGGGACTATCATTGTTCTCCGATACGGACATAAAGAAGTAGGAGAGCCTTTATTCTAGCTTTATACTAGCTCTGCCCCAATTAAAATTTACATTCAACTGTAGTTTTATTCCCTTTCTTTTAGAATTAGATTTTTTTTCCCTAACTGACCTCTTTGATTTTGTTACAGATAATTATTACATACAAACAATCCATCACTGATTTATTCTATTTTAAAAATAATAGAAAATGTGAGTCCAAATATCCTTGAGCTATTTTTAAGTAGCTCCTTGTCACCACATTTTGAGGCTTAGTAAAACCACTTCTTATAATTCAGACAAAGCGAGACCTTTGCAACTCAGAAGGTCAATTCGAACTGAAGTTTCCTAGGTTAAATACACCATAAATGACAAATTTTAATGTATATATTGCCAAGGATCAACTTTCCAAACTTCTTAATAAAGTGTGAATAGTTGCATGAACTCAGTCTATATGAGGTCTTAGTATCTGAAATTGATCCCTAACAAACACGTTAAGAGCATGGCCTTAATTAAATCTATATTTCTCTTTTTATATGTCAAATTATTCTCTTTAAATATTTATTTTCAGCCCACCCCTCTTGTATTCCCATGGAAGCAGCTGGGTATATTTAATATTAGGAGCACATCCAGAAGTCTTTGAGGAGGGGGATGGCTCTTCATATTCATGAAGCCTGCATACTTCTGTTGGTCATCCCTGGATTGGTCACGTCTGCTGCCATCAGTCATGAAGACTACCCTGCTGATGAAGGCGACCAGACTTCCAGTAATGATAATCTGATCTTTGATGACTATCGAGGGAAAGGGTGTGTGGATGACAGCGGCTTTGTATACAAGTTGGGAGAACGATTTTTCCCAGGGCATTCCAACTGTCCATGTGTCTGTGCTCTGGATGGACCTGTTTGCGACCAGCCAGAATGCCCTAAAATTCACCCAAAGTGTACCAAAGTGGAACATAATGGATGCTGTCCTGAGTGCAAAGAAGTGAAAAACTTTTGTGAATATCATGGGAAAAATTACAAAATCTTGGAGGAATTTAAGGTATGAATGACCCTCCGTATTTGTTGAATACTAACTTTTCATACCACATGCATAGCAGAATGCTACATAAAAAAATAAAGCTAGAAAACTATATTTTAAAATTTCCTTTTTATTTAAAACAGTATTATTCTACATAACATAAGTAGCCTTGTGGTCAACAAGTAGTGAATTGATCTGCTGATCAATATTGCTGGTGTTTCATAATAACCTTTCCCTGCAGAAGTATGTGGAACATCTTGAGGTCTTTTCTATTTTATCTTTAAACTTTTCTTCTGTGTTATTACAACACATGTCTTCTTAGGGAAACTTAGTTTTATTTATAGATTATGGATCTTTTCAATTAGTTTTTAAGTCTTGTTGGATTTTTTGTGGCTGATTAGCATGTTTTTGGAGCCAGTTTACTGTGGTCTAGTATTATTTGTTTAGTGTGTGGAAAAGTAAGTGCTACAGAGATAGACATCTGAGCTGTGGACTTCATATTAATAACATACTATGGATCCATTCTGTTCTCTGCTAACTAGACTTTTTACTTCCAGGACCCCACAAAGAATTAAATTTTTATCTCAGTCCATTGTAAAAGGTAGTTAAAAAAACTTCAATTTTCTCAGTCTCCATGGTATGATTGGTCTTTTTTAAATACCTGTGTCATATTTTCGAGTTCCTGGAGTTGGTTTTTAGCTCTTTTGGTCTCTTTTCTCCAATGGCTAGTTTTAATTTGGATGTCCTACAAGCCAGCTCTGAAGCCTGAGGATATAAATTAATACATCAAAAATGTCCTCCTTGGATGTAACGGCAGTTTGTGCCTTGGACTGTCTGTTCTGCTGATGCCTTGATATGAAGTGTTCTCATTTCATCTAGCCAAGTTCTGTGACAAAGTACTCAAAACCTTATAGGCAAAAAAGATAGATCTAGTTTTCAGTTATGTGACTGTTTACGTTTGAGAGAAGAGTGCTCAGTTATTAGCGCTGACCAAACTTCTTTCTCCGCAAGAGTCAAATGGTGCCAGAAGTTAACATGTGAAAAGTAAGTTTTGACTGATGATAAGCATAGTGGAAGAATTCTGTGTATTAGTATTTCACTACTTCAGTCCATTCCAAGTTCTGGGTTCGAAGAACTATTTCTAATTTATCCAAAAATATGTAATCATTTTAACTAGATTCCTTAGGATTTGAGGGAAAATTTTAATGATAATTATCACATTCAATGTTCATAGACATAAATATTATTCTAGACTTTTGTCTTTCATGTATTATATTACCTTGTAGAATATTAAGAAGTTAGAAGCCTACAAGTTTAGTAACATTATCGTTGCTAAAAACAAACGGTAATTAAAAGTATAGTACATTTATTAGCTTTTTTATAGTCTAAAATATTGGATACACTTTGACATTAGCTATTTTTACTTTTAGGTTAATAGGAGTAAATACAAGTACTTAACACATGATTTGATTCTAGACATGGTTCTAAAATTATGTCACTCTCTTCTAACATGCACATATCTCTATATTACAATACAATAAAAACATTATAGGAACAACATCTCATATTTAACTGAAACTAAAGAGAGTACATCAGATAAAATTTCTGAGATCTATATAATTTGGTAATCAATATTTAATAAACAAGAAAATAAACTGATTATTTAAACTTAGTCAACTCCCATTAAAAATGCTATAAATTGCTTTTCCTCTATTTATTAGATTTTGTTTTATCACAGGGGCAATAGCTATTTCTAGTATGTCAAATAGTACATAGATATATAAATAATAATAATTCCCCACCCTCTCTAATTATATGTACTATTATAATCAGGGAGCCCTGGAAGTGTAGTGGTTGGTTAGAGATTGGCAGCTAACCAAAAGGTTGGCAGTTCGAATCCACCAGCCACTCCTTGGGAACCCTATGGGGCAGTTCTATTCTGTCCTATAGGGTCACTCTGAGTCAGAATTGACTGGATGGCAATGGGCTTGGGCTTGGGTTATAATCAGTATATAATATAACCAGTTGGTGTGCATAGATTTTTCTACCTGGCTCTATGTGCCATGAGTACTTTTTAAAAGTAATTTTAAAAAGGGGAAAACAGGTGACACTTTTTCACAAGGATTTATAGAGTCATAAAGATCTTTAGAGATTATCTAGGGCAAGTTCTTCATTAAGAATAAGGAACTGAGACCAAGGAAGTTTAAGTTACTTGCCCATAATTGTCAAGTTATTTAACTCTAACAATAGAGTATACACAATCACTCAAAGCACTTTGGCTCTAGAGTCAAGTAGACCTGCATTCAACTCCAAAATTCATCACTTGGATGTGTGACTTTGGATGGAATCCTTATCCATTCTGAGCCTCAGTGATATTGGCTATAAAATCATCATAATAATAATTACCTTCCTGTAGGAGGAGATGTTGGAAAGATTTAATGAGATAATTTATGTGAAATTATTAGCCTTGTGATGACTAGTATCCAATAAGTGTTAAATAAATGGTTGTTCCTCTCTCTCTAAACTCTAATATCCAGGATTTACTCTAAATTCAGAATTCCTTTGTATTTTCAACCCACATCTTATAATGGAAGCTCAACTTTAAAATCATTCAATTAAAATAATTTCAATTCTTTAAACAATATTCTACTTATTCCTATGAACCATATATCCCTTAGTAAATCTTAGCCATAATCTGTCATCTTGATTCTCTCCCAACCTGGTTATCAAGAGAGAAGTAACTAATTTTTAAAGATGCATGGAACTTTAATATCTTGGTGTGTTAAGGAGTTTGTATTATGCAATATTCTTTACACATAATAGATTAATTCAACAAGCATTTATTGGACTCTAGTATATAAGATACTGTAGATGCACTTACATTGAAAAGTAGAATATCCAGAAGGCAAAGTCTCTACTCACAAGGAAGTCCTAATCAATGTGGAGAGAGAAAGGGAAAATATTTCTAGAGTTAATTTTATGATTTTAAAGCCACAATACAAAATTGCAATGGATGTAGAGTCTAAATCTTATCAACACTGTGTTGAGGTTTGGTCAAGCAAGACTTCTTTTTCTTCTGGATGATTAAAGTTGAGGTTATTCTTAAAGAAGTAGTTAAAATTGATCTGTGAAGATAAGAATTCCAAAAAGGAAACTTCTTGAGCAAAATCAGACATTGAAATGAATAAAATCTGCAAAGAGAAGAGGGAAATAGGAATAACAGAGAGTAGTATCTGACTAAAATGCTACTCTAGTAAGAGAGTAGTATTTTGAATATGTGTTGGTGGACAGTGGATGAGAGGGATTGAGTACTGGGCCAAAATATTTATATTTGGTTGAACAATTATGGAATAAAATGTAGGTTGTTGTGCAGAGATGACCTAATTAAATATGATTTTTTTTTAAAAAAAAAGATTATTTCATAACCAGGTATAGAATTGAATAAAGGTGAAGAGAAACTAATGACAGAGTTGGGAGGGCAGGAAGTTTGTTGCAAAAAAAAAAAAAACAAAAAGGGTTAAGGGATGAGATGACTGACATGCATAGCCCAAAAACATTCAGAACATTGTTTTCAGGATAAAATCCACATTCCCTAACATTCACCATTCCAACTACCTCAAATTCTGGTGACTTCTCTTTCTTGAGGGTTTGCAAGCTGTCCCACAGTGTGGAACACTCTTTCACTGTTGTTCACCTGTACAAGTCCTACTAGGCTACTTCCACACTGCAGATCTCATCTCAGCTGGAAAGCCTCTCTGTCCTCTCATCCAACCCTTGTATCCTGGGCTAGGGTCTCGCTCTTCTCCTATATACTCCCCCAACATGCTGTGCACCCCGTTATAGCAGTAATTGTAGTCAGACACTGTTAAGAACTTTAAATGTATTATAATGCATTTCATTTTCATAATAACACTATGATAATTATACTTTTATTAGTCCTGTTTTACAGATAAGAGAACTGAGTACGAAAGTGTAAGTAACTTGCTCAAGGTCACAGAACTAGAAAGTGGAAGAACTAGGATTCAGACCCAGACAGCCTGGCTGCAGACTTCAAGCTCTTAACCACCACCTCTGTGGACGCTGTCACACTGAATTAATACACATAATGTGAAATCACCTGTCTGTCCTACTTGACAGTGACCCCTCTGATGGTCGAAACACTGTTTTCTTCTATATTCCCAACCCCCAGCACAATGTGAGCCACATAACAGGCAATCAACACATTTTTTGGTGAGTGATATAAAGGATCAGATTACAAGTGAACCTGTAGAATAATGAAGTTAGAGGTTCCTTTAAGACACCTTAGTTTCTGTTTATGTGTTCGTCTTTTCATTTTAATTAGTTAAGGAAGCACCCAAAGTTCAGACAGAGAATGCCTTCTCCGCAGCTAAAGTTGACACACAGACTCACTGACAGAGCTCCTATTTCCATCCAGCTTTTACTCTCTCCCCTGTCTCCTTACCCCTTCCTATCCCAGACTGATCCTGGATCTGAGTCTCGATCCCAGCATTGCAACGACCACCCAATGTGTTACTAAGCTCTCTCACCCTACACAGTTGCAAAACATAAGTCCCACTTCAATCTTTTATGACCACTTAATTCAAATGTAAATTTATCCACATATGTCATCTGACGAGAAGAATAATGTTCACAAACCTGGTACTGAAGTGTTTTGTTGGTTCGGGTGTTGTTGTTGTTTTACCCAGTATTTAGGAATCAAGCTTTGAAGATGGTTTTTTCGTTACTCCTTTGAAAACTAAATTCTCCAGTGTTCCTGTAATATTATACTAACAGAAAGGTCACTGTATAGCAGGTTCTCTCATCTTTCTTTTACGTGTACCCAGGCAAAATGACACTGGAACCTACTTTTTAAAAAATAAGGATTATAAATAATACATTACAATAGCATTTCCTATCAAAAAAAAAAAAAAGTTGATTGGAAATGTAGGCTGTATCCGCTTTGCCTCTATGCTTAACTATCTCATGCTGAGTTTCCCAAAGGGAGAAATAATTTCTTATTT